CGCATTTGACGAGGCAGGAGGGGAGCATCATGAGCATCAGCTGGGTATACTTCCGGCCACATGGCCCCCTGGACTCCAGATGTTGCAAAAACCAACTGCCCCAGTGACTGCGAACATTTGACGAGGCAGGAGGGGAGCATCATGAGCATCAGCTGCGTTTACTTCCGGCCACATGGCCCCCTGGACTCCAGATGTTGCGAAATTGCAAAAACCAACTGTCCCAGTGACTGCGCGCATTTGACGAGGCAGGAGGGGAGCATCATGAGTCAAAGGTGGGTATACTTCCGGCCACATGGCCCCCTGGACTCCAGATGTTGCAAAAACCAACTGCCCCAGTGACTGCGAACATTTGACGAGTCAGGAGGGGAGCATCATGAGCATCAGCTGGGTATACTTCCGGCCACATGGCCCCCTGGACTCCAGATGTTGCAAAAACCAACTGCCCCAGTGACTGCGCGCATTTGACGAGGCAGGAGGGGACATGAGCATCAGCTGGGTATACTTCCGGCCACATGGCCCCTGGACTCCAGATGTTGTAAAAACTAACTGCCCCAGTGACTGCGCGCATTTGACGAGGCAGGAGGGGAGCATCATAAGCATCAGCTGCGTATACTTCCGGCCACATGGCCCCCTGGACTCCAGATGTTGCAAAAACCAACTACCCCAGTGACTGCGCACATTTGACCGAGGCAGGAGGGGAGCATCATGAGCATCAGCTGCGTATACTTCCGGCCACATGGCCCCCTGGACTCCAGATGTTGCAAAAACCAACTGCCCCACCAGTGACTGTGCGCATTTGACGAGGCAGGAGGGGAGCATCATGAGCATCAGCTGGGTATACTTCCGGCCACAGCAGGAGGGGATCATCATGAGCATCAGCTGGGTATACTTCCGGCCACATGGCCCCACTAGACTCCCGATGTTGCAAAAACCAACTGCCCCAATGACTGCGCGCATTTGACGAGGCAGGAGGGGAGCATCATGAGCATCAGCTGGGTATACTTCCGGCCACATGGCCCCCTGGACTCCAGATGTTGCAAAAACCAACTGCCCCAGTGACTGCGCGCATCTGACGAGGCAGGAGGGGAGCATCATGAGCATCAGCTGGGTATACTTCTGGCCACATGGCCCCCTGGACTCCAGATGTTGCAAAACCCAACTGCCCCAGTGACTGCGCGCATTTGACGAGGCAGGCGGGGAGCATCATGAGCATCAGCTGGGTATAATTCCGGCCACATGGCCCCCTGGACTCCAGATGTTGCAAAAACCAACTGCCCCAGTGACTGCGCGCATTTGACGAGGCAGGAGGGGAGCATCATGAGCATCAGCTGGGTATACTTCCGGCCACATGGCCCCCTGGACTCCAGATGTTGTAAAAACCAACTGCCCCAGTGACTGCGCGCATTTGACGAGGCAGGAGGGGAGCATCATGAGCATCAGCTGGGTATACTTCAGATGTTGCAAAAACCAACTGCCCCAGGGCATCATGAGCATTAGCTGGGTATACTTCCGGCCACATGGCCCCTGGACTCCAGATGTTGCAAAGACCAACTGCCCCAGTGACTGCGCGCATTTGACGAGGCAGGAGGGGGGCATCATGAGCATCAGCTGGGTATACTTCCGGCCACATGGCCCCCTGGACTCCAGATGTTGCAAAAACCAACTGCCCCAGTGACTGCGCGCATTTGACGAGGCAGGAGGGCAGCATCATGAGCATCAGCTGGGTATACTTCCGGCCACATGGCCGCCTGGACTCCAGATGTTGTAAAAACCAACTGCCCCAGTGACTGCGCGCATTTGACGAGGCTGGAGGGGAGCATCATGGGCATCAGCTGGGTCCAGCTGGGTATACTTCCGGACACATGGCCCCCTGGACTCCAGATGTTGTAAAAACCAACTGCCCCAGTGACTGCGCGCACTTGACGAGGCAGGAGGGGAGCATCATGAGCATCAGCTGAGTATACTTCCGGCCATATGGCCCCCTGGACCCCAGATGTTGCAAAAACCAACTGCCCCAGTGACTGCGCGCATTTGACGAGGCAGGAGGGGAGCGCATCATGAGCATCAGCTGGGTATACTTCCGGCCACATGGCCCCTTGGACTCCAGATGTTGCAAAAACCAACCGCCCCAGTGACTACGCGCATTTGGCGAGGCAGGAGGAGGTTTTGGGGGGATTGGTCGTGGCTTGCTGCCCCAGTATCACCTGAGGCCGGCCCTGGGCAGGAGACCTAGAAAACTACTGCTCCTGGGACCTGTGGCTCACAGACGCAGTAGCTCTCCGAAAGCATGCTTGCAAAGGGCAGGCTTTTCCGCAAAGAGACTCCTGACTAAGCACAGGAGGGGGAAGGGGGGGAGGGGGGAGAGGGGGGGGATGCTTTGTTTGTTTTATGAAATGGGGAATTAAACGAGGAGGGGTGCCGGTCCCTCATGTGATACCAATGCTTCAAGATTGATAGGAATCAGTTCCCGCCGCAAAAATATGATTCATTCGGGCAACCAGTCCAAGTCCAGTCCAGAGTCCCTCCAAACTCTGGAAAGCCCTCGATGCTGGTATCAACAGGCTGTTTAGATCAGACGTGCTTCTCGCAGGCGCTGATGGCTTTATTGAGCCCAAAGACATCGAGTCCTGGGACTTGTGAGTTCTTTGTCTGCATCTGAGATAAGGCTTCAGGATCTTCAGTAGCAACTCTTCATCTGAGGCCTTGTAGTACTCGGCCACTGGCAAGGTACAGACTCATTTGCTGTGTTAGTGTAAGATGGAGACTCATGCAGCTGCAGGCGGAGGAGCGCGTTTCTTAGATTCTTCAAACATCCTTCGATTCGAGGTGCCTTCACCAACATCTTGCAAGGCTCTACCCACGTCTAAAGCTGTAGCCAACAGATCTGCGCCCAAAGCCAAGAAGAAATCAAATCAACACCTCGGACCAATTGTCAAACCCATGTTCATACTGATTCTTACACCGAAGCGCAAGAAAAGCCGAGGATCGCATGTGTTCTTTGTTCATGCCAAAGACCTGGATCTGAATGAAACTCGACTGCGAATGGTTGCAGCTTGCGCGTTCGGCTGAACGAGGCTGAACTCCGCAGTTTTAGGGACTGCAGAGTACTGCAGAAGGGCCCTGCGCAAGGGGTGCGGAGGCCATAGCCTTGAGGCGATGTGCCGCCACTGTGATTTGGGACCTCATGTAACAGCTGCCAGACCGAAAAAACTCCAATTCAAGTTGAAGGTACCAATTCCAGGCTGCGCTGCCATCGAGCTGAACGCTGGCAGGCAGTCCTGGGCCGTGATGGTCAGGAACCGTTCTGGCTGGGGGATGCGACACGTGATCTTGACGTGCAAGTAGGGCCCCATGAAACTGCCGAACAGACTGCCTCAACACATGAAGGAAGATTTGGGTGCCCACATGTGCCCACCCCCCCCTCCAATCCAACCCTTCCCCCGCCAACAAACTGTAATCAAGCAAGCGCGCACAAACGCGCAAACGCACAGGCGCACGCACCTCTCTCCCTCTGCGCATGTGTTTTTGTGGGATCTTGTTGAAATCCTCTCTCGCGCGCGCGCGGCATGGGGCATGTGGAATCTTGAGGGAAGACCCACCCAGAGCTCTGATTCCATCTTTCAAGGGTGAATATTTGCCGTGGAAATATGAGCAGCAAATATCTTTATTCAAGCCACACAAGCACGTACAAACAAAGTGTGGAAAAAACTAAGCCACGACCAGAGGCGAGGCCTGGTTCCTGTCAAGTGTTGCACATGCCCCAAGACTCCAAGACCATCGAAGCACCCCAGAAACATCCGTAAGCATCCGTAAGCCAATTTCCAGAGGAGTGGCAAGGCCTGGCTTGGGCAGGATGGCCCCGGCCTCTCGACCTGGAGATTTTATGGGCAGACTTCGAAGTTGATGGCTTGGAATCGGCCAGCACAACAGCCTTCCTTAAAGCCTTTGATTCAAGCGACCGATGCATGATCCGGAGGGAGTAAGGCTAGGACCATTGCCTAGACAGTGAAACTTGTCCGTCTTTTTGCCCGGGTCTCGTGCGGGAGGGCCACAGATTTCTTGGAGACTGGCTGGAGGGTACCACAGAGGTTCTGCTGTACAAGGGAAGCTTGGTGCAGCACGCACTGCGCCTTCGAGAAGCTGGGGCCATGTGTCTGCGGCATCGCGCACGGTGCCGACCATGGCCAGGGACGAAACGCTGGGTCCTGCTGTTCACGAGGGGAGAGGCCTGCGTTTGCGTTGCGACAAGCCTAAGCTCGAGCTTTGCTTTCGGGCCAAATTCTCTACCCGAACCTCGATGCTGCACAATTTGAGACAAAAATCAAGGGAAGCCATCTCGGAAGGGAGCCCACCATTCAAACCCAACCGCAGCAACTGGTAAAGAGACTGCAAGCAGCATGTTTATGCATTGGTCACGCATTGGAAGTGTTTGTGATTGTGTCTCGTCTGTATTCAGATTACAGTACCTGTTGGCAGTCTGATCATGAACGATGCAGTCGGCAGATGTGTTTGTTCATGCACATGGCGCGCTGAGATCCTTTCCGGAAAGCTGCACGCTGCTACCGATGCCTGCCCTCCCTCCGTTTAGGCTGAGGCAAGATACGAATCGAACGAAACCCAGAACCCTGGGTGACTGGAATCAGGGCTCGGAACGTGAGCCACTCTGGAGAAACATAAGTCCACATACATCCGCCCAAAGTGCCTGAACGGCAGGCAGGCCCGAATTCGTGCGAATTCCATGACTGCCAAACTCCACCACGGACCGCCGACAGGCAACGATCGATGACGCTCCTCTTGTCATACCTCTCTGTGGGGCAGTCTGGTCGCCAAGCTAGATCGAATTTGTGCAGAATATGTAGTATCAGTATGCAGCAGAGTGTTTTCCGACCAATATTTGCACGGTAGTTGGGAACTAACCTACTTTTCGAATCGTGAGACTTCGGGGGTCAAGGCCACTGTCGCCAAATCAGACTGGGACGACATGGTCGTTGCAGCTGGCGTTACTCCGTCTGCCTCGGAAGGGCAGTAGCATAACTCAGGCTCGTTAGTCGCATAGAAAAAACGATGACCTACGTTCCGCTCAAAGAACTCGTGCCCCGACAATGGGCTGCGCCTCTTTTGCAGCAAAACGACAGCACAGCGCTCGTGTCACAATGCGTGCCGGAGCTGTAAAATTGCGGGCACATCAACTGGGCGGTGGCTTCACGAACCTCGACAACACACTAGGACCCGGGACAAGTCAGGAAAATGCCAGTGCTTTAGAGCGCTTCAATTGCTTTGTCAACATGCGAGTGGGAGATTCGTGAAAGCACGCTCCGAGGACTGGATGACGTCTCCTTTTGGATGCCTTTTGGACCTCAACCCTCAATTTGTCGGTCATTGTCAGCTAAAGCCCAAAGGGCCCATCAGGAGACAGAGGCGCCTCGCTGGCAAAGCCCCATTGCGATGACGAGATGTGCCAATAGGCATAGGCCCATGCAAGCTCAAGCTTAAATACTGGAATTAAGTTTGGACCCCCCCCCACCCAGCGTTGGCTGTTGATTTTCATCATGTCAGGTGTAACCTCACTGAAAGGACTCGAGTCCATTCCGAAGCCAAAGCCTTAAAGCCTTAACGCTGACTCGACGTGATGCCTCTACACTTTATACTGTATATACCTGAGATGGATGCGCCATGATGCACCCATGCCTACGGCACAGCTTCCATCATAACATCAACAAGGTCAGCTACTGCCATGGCTGGCTTAAAAAGAACACCTGCGGGTCCAAAGCCGCAACTTACAAGCCCTGAACTTGAAGCCCGCAGGGAGTATTCGGAGGTCAGCAAGATTCCATGAACGACGGACATTTCACTGGCACTTCGTCTGTTGGATGATTTGAGGCCCATTTACATTAAGCTCAGCTTCTCGGGTTCGATGAACAACAGCCACCTGATTATCTAACAGGCATGTCTTCTGATAAGGTCATGGCCTCAGTTGTTCAAGCTTCAGCACCGACCTCCTTTGCCAGCAATGCATGTGTGCGCTTCGCAGAGCCACTTTTGTGGAGCCTCATAGGCATAGCTACGTCTGCAGGGGAACGCCATGACATGGACAATGGTGTGATTCCGACTGTTGCACCCCACGAGCCTCCAAAAAAGACCTGGACTAGAGTCCCAGGGAACAGCTACGAGCGGAGTATGCCGACCCTCGCTGAATTCCTGGCAGGGAATTTCCCGCATGGCCAGGCAGACCAGATTAAGAATGGCTTCACGTCTTGGAAGGTGTTGCGCGAGGGACTTTGCTGGAGTGAGTTGATTCTGAAACTCTTATGAAGCCATTTCCCATCTCCGGCCCTGTCCTGCAGTCGGGCCTTTGCATCCTCGATGAGCCGGCAAAGCTTCATATGACGAGAGGCTTTCACCACGCTGCAACCATCCGAAGCAGAACAGCTTTGATCGGGCCGTCTACGTGAAGTGACATCTGCAACGTCCCAGTCTCGAATCCCTCAAAAGCCCAACCAGGATCTGCGTGAGATATCTTGACAGGACTACAGCCCAGGCTCCTCAACATGCACTTGCAGGCACACTTTCTGCCAACTAACCTTGCCGGAGGTAGGCTTGTACTGAAGATGGGGCCCTGCAGTTGCTGCTTCATGGCATTCCGGCTACCAGAGACCCTTTGGGCCGACGACCGAAAAACGGTCAGCGGAAACGACAGCAATCCGCTGAAACAAGCCCGCGTTCAATGTGTCTGTGACACTGTGACAAAGACAGAACCACTGCATGCGGATCACTGCTTCCCATCCAGCCGAATATTCCGACCCGCCTGTGGGAGCATCACGATTCCCGGAAATAATCGCAAACCTAAACACACTAAATACACTTGTGACAATGGATTTGGTGCACATTTAGAAACTCAAGACTGATTCTGCTCTATCGGCACACTGGCAATCGCAATGCTAGCAACTTCGTCCAGCAGGTGGGCCGACCAAGAGTTGTGTGATCCCACCACAAGCACTTCGAGAGCCCAAGCTATCCCAATATTATAGCCCCGTTCCACGTTGATGCGTCATGTCCGGTTCCGCAGAAAAGTATCGGCCCCCCTCGAAGGAGGAAACACAAACCATGTATGGGAACAGGAAGCTAAGGCGGGAAGGAGTTGACATGCTTTGAACCCTCAATCCTACCTACACCCTGTACATATCCCGCACCTATGAACCTCGGAGGTTCTAATTAAGAGTGTGCGACGCATGTGCACTTAAACAACCCTGAAGCTTTGCGAAATTATCGTAGAGTTTCGGTGGCTAAAGCCCTGCAAGCCGCAGACTTAAAGGGTCCACCAAGTGCGTGGGATATGCTACGACGATGTTGGACCTTTGCACCCCTTAAGGGAGCAAAACTCCGAAACTTGCGAAGCGGCAGCGTGCTTGCTGAGGTGACTTAGTCGCTTAGATGCTTCGGATTCATGGGCATGTAGAGCTTGGGGCGATTTGGATTTGGGTGGGGTTCCGCAGCTTCTAGCCCAACAAGAAGAGGCCGTAATGGCAGTCTCGGCTTTATGGGGCAGAGCTGTGCCTTGGTGTAAAAGCTTTCCTTTCGAGGGTTCAAGGGCTAGGATATGTTAGCCTCCTCCGTTTAAGAAGCGTGGCCAGAAAACCTTCTTAGAACACGTACTTTGATCACGTGATTCTGCAACTCCAAACAACTACTGCCGAGTCTGTCCTACTGAGGCTCAATGGCTTGTGAACTACTTCTTCCGCGCACCTTCGCTCTGGCGTTGCGAGAAGTAGGACCATAAGTAGGAGCCAAGCGTCAGGGCCTCGACCTCTTGTGTGCATCCATGCTCGATCCTAGATATTGGGACAGATTTAGGAGCATGGTGGATTCTATGGGGCGCATGGTCCTTCACTGGCCCTCGGATTCACGGCGCTGCGATGATTCCGCAAACTCATGAAAGTGCTCAGAGGCCAGGCGCAGCTCACCGGAATGTTTGCAGCTCATGCTACGGCTACGAGACACAGGCTATCAAAAAACAGCTCTGAAGAGGCACAGCAATTGGATTTGCACCGACGTCGTACCAACACACTCCCCAAGCGGATCGTGTCAACGGAACATTGGAACAGTCTTGGAACAGTCTTCGAACATCTTTTTAGGCTCCGAAGAGACAAATCACCTGGCTGTCTGATCGCACGAGGACATGGTTAAACCTTACTGACTCAGGGAGGTGCGCGCACTATGGCACTATTGTATGCTGCAAGGCTCCGTGCCGACACTGGACCAACAGATAACGACACAGCTACGCTGACAAAACGTATAACGTCGTTTAACAAACACAAGCCCACCAAACGACAGAAATGTCAAGGTTTTCATGTTGTCGCTTTTCGCCATTCCGGAAAGAAACGCGATGCAGGGTACGGGTTAGCGAGCAATTTGGTCCCCACAGGCCGCTGTGGGAGGTGCCAGAAGACTTCCCCGCTTTGACACAATGGATATCCTCATAGATGATCTGTTCTTTGTTTGGCAGTTGCTTCTGAGTTCCTAAATATTCACAGACGCGCAGGCTTGGGGGTTGTTGCATATAAGTTGCCATAGTTGCTTTGTTGGCTGCATGGGAGCTGGGATATGCTCAAGCCTGGTAGCGGTCATCCATGCTCAGCTATGACAACACCTCTCTGTCGGTGAATCCTCAGCCTGATGGCGACCCCCAGCAATTCGGGAAGAAAAAGAAGCGCAACATGATCCCCGAACTGAGGACCCGGGGCCTGTACTCTTTTTTGCCACGTGGTCCGTTCACTCTACACTAAACCCTTAACCCAAAGAGCAACGACTCAACTATTCGTCTGACATCTTCTGGCAGGATCCCGTCTCTGAATGAGATCCAGCGTCAAGTCTAAGGGACCGAAGCTGCTCGGAGAGAGTTGCAGTTGATAGTCAGTGACAAGCTGCCATGCAGCACTCTTATAAGGACGTCAGCGGCAGCATCTCTTTGCAACTGGCCACATGTGTTGCATGCTTCGGACTCTATGCTTCCGAGTCGCTTTGAGAATAGAACAAGCATTGGACTATACTATATATATATACACACACACGCATGCGTACATACTTCCTTGGATGGCTAGATAGATAGAAAGACATTGATAGACAGATAGATGGACAGATCTGCATACAACGATTACAATGTTGTGTATTTGCTCGACATCCAGTGCATCCATTCATTTGCTTCCGGAATGTTGTCCCCAACAACTCCCTCAAAGCCACAGCTTTGCGGCTCAGGCATCTTGTGCTGGGTCACATCGTGGTGTGGCCCTCTACGCAGTATTGTTGGCCTCATCCAAGCTCGGGTGAGCGACGAAGGACATGAAACGCCAAAACAGCGCAAACACATCTGCACGGCGAGGGTTGGCTCAGCTATCCTCGCATCCCGTTGTGGCTTATCCAGGGATCCTTGCTTCGAAGCCTGACATCACATCCGCACTGTACAGAGATGCAGTCAGGACGCAATCATCATCTCTGGCGGCACTGCTTTCCCGCAGTCAGTGGCAGAGGAGCGTAGCTGCTAAACGCGAGCGCTCTCTAATCGCTACTGGCATCTCTCTAATTTGACTGATGCCTGTCGGCCTTGCTAGGCACTGCGCGCACAGAGACATGAAATGCCACGTGCCTGAGACTCTCCCAGGTTCTGCTAAGTTCTAATTCATGATGGCACAAGCGAGAACGACAAAAAGAAGGAAGGGGGGACTCAAGGAGCGCTGCCGAGCTATGCGGTCGATGTCAAGCCAGGGAACGCACTTGCGAAGTCTGCTATGCAATGCACATCAGCGCCACCCAAGTCCTGCCCACTTCCTTTGACCATCTACGCAGAAGACCCCGTGCGAAGCTGGTTGCGATCGCGGGGCCAAGGGGCAAAGCACTGCCAAGCACCTCCTGCGGCTCCTGCCCTTGAAGCCTTGAACCTCTGCCTTCAACCTTGCCCCAGGACCCATGAAGCTCACAATTCGAATTCCAAAGGCCCGAGGCTGTCCATCCAAGATGTT